GTCCATAGTATTGTTCATTTCAATGTCCCTTTTGAGTTTTACAGTGTCAGGGACTTTTTTCTCCCTTAATTTTCTATTACTAACAAGTGGAGCATCTTTTTGTTGGGTTCGACCTGTGAAGTACATCCTTTAGTTTCTTCCTAAAAGTTAAAAATTTAAAATAAAATAAAAAAAACTAAAAAGTGGGCTTTGGGCATTGAGGTTCATTAAGGGTGTTTCACTTTGAAGCGAGGCACCTAGGGGGCTTTTCTAGGAAGCATGCTGGTACTCTTTTCAAAACAAGATTCAATGAATTTTGTTTTCTTTTTGAACGAGGAAAAATGGTATTGTTTGCAAATGGTTGCCATGAACTCCATTTCCTATCCAAAAGCCTTGACAAAATCACTTTAAGCCTAGGCCTTTAACGGTCAACAACCAGCAGACAAAACAGAGAGGAGGATCCCCTTAACTAATTCCCTCGATCTCTAGATTTTTCCACTCAGGTATCCGTGATAAATTAGCTTTAGAAAGACATTTTCTTATCCATTGCCTCTGAAATCTGCCTTAAGCGACCTTTGGCTTTAAGATTAGCATCCAAGACGTTCTGATCTGCTTATTAGATATCATAAGTCCTCTCCAAGTTATAATCAGGTCCTTCTATTTCCTTTTTTTCATTTTCCACCCGTCAATATATCAGGTAAAAATCTACTATCTAGCTGTTTCGACAAAGGCTGCCTCAAATTCTATTTTCGTACTTACACTCATCAATATTCTTGTCAACAATTCCGTCCGTCAAAGTTTAAGTAAAGAATATAAAACTGCTAACTCTTTACTTTTTCCTGATGGCACCTCTACCAATTTGTACTACAAGAAGAGTCTGTTAGGCTGATTCCTCTGCTTTTTACATAAAACTCTCATGATCTTCACACGTGTTTGCACACACACACACACATATATGTTCATCTTTTATTAATGGAAACTTTTTAATGTAGTGAACAATAACTCTGGTTGTTTGCATATTTCACGTGTGCCTTACTAGTAGAACTATCCTACTACATAACACTCAAATCTAGATAATTAAGATTGTTTGATGCAATCGAGCATCAAAAGAGTCTAAAAGTAAGAATACCCGGGTCTTTCTCCTATTCAAAAGTATGCTAATGCTAGAGATTGGCCTCCAAAATTTAAGCCACTAATCCAAGTACTAACACATGCACACGAACTAGCTAACATGCTACTTAACAATCAAGTACTAACCAATTCACAACTAACAGACTAAAACGAACACAAACTAAATGTTACAACTAATTGCTACGTTGTTGAGAAATTGCTACTCTTTATCTGTTGATCCTCCAAGAATACTTTATAATTTGGCTATAAGTTTTTTAGTTCAAAATAAGCTCTCTTTTTCTGCTTCTACTTGCTTGAACGATTGTTTGGCCATCAGTTTTATAGTCAATTGGAGCTATCAGGAATAACCGCTTAGTAATGCATGAGGCCACTTGTTGGTTTCAGCCTTTGGAACTCTCTTTGCAATTGAGTTGATCTGTTCAGTGTCCTCACACTTTATTTTATTCCTTCTACAGAATTCAATCTGCATTACCTTCGCCTTTCTAACTGTCTTTATCATTAGGCTTGTATCTGTTGGAAACTTAGAAGCCACTGTTAGTTTACTGCTTTCCACTCCTCCAGAGAGCTCTTACTTCTATGCAAATGCTCTACGTGCCGTTGCACTTTCTTCAGCTGTGTCAAAATCGCTTTTAGAACTGGCTGTCAAGGTATGCTTAATTGAATAGATTAAATTCGGATGCTTGAAGAACTTGGAACTTGTCAAGATCATACCCTTCTGCCGTTAGGTTGTTGCTGCCAACATGGTGAGAACTGACCGGTCACTGTCTGGAACTCATCTTCTCTGCGCTGTAGGAAAATATCAAGAAGCATGTTCTCAGGTTTAATATATCATGATGTCTTCTCATGTTTTATTTTATCATAATCAAGTTCTCTTCCAATTCAGACGCATTTCATGTATGGAACAATTTTTTAGGATTAGAAATTTGAGTTGGGAAGAGGTTTTCGATTTAGTCAAATTCTGCAACTTGCGTGGGGTGGTCGAATCTCTCTCTTAATGTGAATTTTTCTTTTTCTTTTTTTGGTGAACTTAGTAAATGCTAGGACACTATTTCTTAAAATAGATAATTCGATCATGATGTTATTGTTAATTTTATGATTTTTTTGGGGGGCTCGATTCCTATTATGGCTCGATCATGATGTTATTGTTAATTTTATGTTATTGTTAATTTTATGATTTTTTTTGGGGGGCTCTTACAGCTTCAAGATGCTGGATGCTGGACGGATGCTGCAACTTTAGCTGCGACACATTTAAAAGGATCTGATTATGCTAGGTAGCTTCTTTGTTGCTAAACTTAGAAGATTTCCATATTTATCTTTTTTTGCATATATGTTGCATCTGTTTTCTGTAACTTCTTTTGTTGGCTTCATTAGTATGATCTCTGCTGCATCACTTTGCCCCAAGGCTCCTTTCTTTGTTGCCTGAGATGCCTTAAATAATAAATTAACTCAGTTTTAAGGAAACGTTGTTGCTGTTAGTGGGATATCTCAAGACTAATACTCTAATACTATTATTTTTGTCGATTTCTCTGATTGGTTGTATATATGTTCTTCAGAGTGCTTCTAAGGTGGGCTAATCATGTCTTCCATAGCGAACATAACATCTGGAGGTAGCATCATTTTTCTTCCCTGCTACATGTAGAGGTTTTCCTGCGACATAGAGTTCTGAAATGGCTCCTTTACAGGGCGCTGATATTGTACGTTGCAGCTGGTGCACTGCAAGAGGCACTGGCTGCACTTCGTGAATCGCAGCAACCTGATACTGCAGCCATGTTCGTCCTGGCTTGTCGAGAAATACATGCAGAATTTATCTCCAATTTAGAACATTCAGACGATGAGTCGGATTCTCGTTTTTTGAAGGAAAAACTCCTTAAGTTGCCCGGGTTGGACCCGGAAAACGAAGATGTTATCGCAGTCTGTGAATATTATGGACAATACCAGAGAAAACTGGTGCACCTCTGCATGGACTCCATGCCGTATTCTGACTGAAGACTGTGGTATTACTTCTCTCCAAGTCTGATTTGATTAATTCATTCTTCAGGGAGTTATTTTATCGAGTACGTCCCTGAAATGAAACCACACAGAGTTTATATACGCCGAAATAACTGAAATTAGAAATGACTTCCATGAATCGAAGCTTAGTTGCAGAGAGCATCTCGGGAGTAATCTTTTGCCGGCCAGCTTTAAAGCTAAATCTGCAGAGGAAAGGGGTTCCAATGTGCTGTATTATGATCTAGAAATCTTTGTAGAGGAGTTGTCTATAACGGTATTACTTCATTCAACAGAGGGAGGTTTTGCTTTCTTTTCCTCCATCTCTCTCTTTTTTATTTTTTATTTTTCCCCCTCTTTGTATATAATAGCTTTTTGATAACATGAACGATTCATGAGAAGGATGCAATGGCTTGGCATCAGTTTGTTTGGTAGGAATCTTGGGTGGTCATGAATCCGACACACCCCAACAGTGTTTTTTGTGTTTGTTTTACAGAAATATAGGACTGTAAAAGAAGTCTCTTTTGATGTTCAAATGAATTTTACTGGGTTGGTTCTTTTTCTTGGAATTCTAAGTTCTCCATGATGTGGTATTCCATCTATTATCCTATTTTTGCTTCACTTTTTTACCACATCAAAGTTAATATCTATTCTTCCTTCTTCTAAGTTAACATTAAATATATTATATTATGTGTTAATAACTTTCAAATGCTCCCAAAAGTCCCATTGAAGAAGTCAAAATTAATTGCATAATAGAATCTTCAATCCATTGCTGAACAACATGGTGTTCGTAATTCAAAATAATAATACTTGACTAATTTTAACACTTTTTTTTTAAATATCACATCACGTGTAATTGGTAGAATTTAAGTTTGCAATTTTTTAAAGAATTTTGACAATTTGTTTTTATATATAAAAAAATTGGAATTATTCTGTGGCGTTGGATCAATCTCTCTCTCTCTCTCTCTCTCTCCCCCCCAACAAAGACGAAAGCAAGAAATTTCTGCAAGCGTGGGTGTTATTTAAAGTCAAATATTTTCATAACTATTATTAAATATCAACATTATTTCTTTTTCCAATTTGGTTACAAATATATTTTAATTGGAAATTTATGGAAGACTTTTTGTTACATTATTATTATATATATATATATATATATATATATATATATATATATATATATATATATATATTTTTTTTTTTTTTTTTTTTTTTTTTTTTTTTTTTTTTTTTTTTTTTTTT